TAAATCAATATGCTTCTCCTATCATATCAACAGGTAAGAGACAGAGGAGGTTTCTGGTCATCGCTGAATAATGTGCATATTGTTCCATTTCTATGCCATTCACCCCCCATCCATTTCAAAAACTTATATAACTTTGCAAGTAATATTTCAAAATGCTGCATATTCATAGTCACTTCTTTGGTTAGAAGAAAAAGCTGTATGTGCAAGTTTGTACATATACATGATGAGACTTCAAATTCTCATGTTTGGAGCTTTCTGTTTCAGAGGGATGCCCCTCAAAAAAAACGTGTGTTTACATGTAAAAGTCAACAAGCCAGAGGTAAAAGCTGATTTTAAAGAGATGCAGTCTCCTAAGCTTTATGGCCTTGCTTCACAGAAAGCCTACCCAACATACCGCTAATGTCACTGGGGCTGGGATTCATCTGCCCTAAGTTAAGGTATCCAGTGTGCAATTAGGTACTTCCCCAAAGATAAGCTTATGCATTTAGTATAATGCAATTGTATTAGGCCAGGTAACAAACTCCTCTACGGCAGTTAGACGCACCCCAGATATCTAGACCTCCATCCCGAGAAGCATAGTTCTACTAAAAATTACCTGGACCACCTCAATATTTTTAAGTTGTGCACAGGGAAGGCACAGTTCAGCCATCTCCCTCTAGGACTTACGTGGTTTTGACTTTCTGCATACAGAACATTGCTGTCAGAACAATCGCAGTTCAGTTTTGAAAAAAAGTAATGTAGACTTCTCTTGGCCTCCGAGTTATGTACCACAAGGTCCAAGAAACTCTATGGGTATTCAACATACATAGAAAAGGGTAAAAACTACTGTTGTAAGCAGAAGTACAGCCATATTCAATGGTTTTGGAAGGAAGAAGACGCCCCTGCATCTCCAGCAAGAAGTAATGCAGGCCAAAGACTCAACAGCCTTTATCATGCGCTGGAGCTTTAGGCCTAGCTTGAAATTGTACTGGTGGACCAGCAGGAAAACAACCCCTGGGTGGGAGATCATGGAGCAGTATGACAGTGCTGCCAGTGAGCGGCTTTTCTGTTTCATCAGAGCAGTGTTAGCACGTGCTCAGCTATGAGGGAACAGAGCCCTCACCCTGGCAAGAAGGTTTCGATATCTTCAATTCTGTCTTATGTTAGGGGAACCTCACCTGCTGCTGCTCCCCTGGCGACTGGGAGTTCAGACAATAGTAGAGTTGTGATGGTAGCTGCCCCATCACTCCAGATCAAAGAGCCAGGAGTAATTGCTGCTGTTGTACTGCAGTGACCAGGCTGAGGCACATGGGGAACCATCTGTCCCTAGCACAATGCTTGCTTGGAGGAGAAGGAGGAGTCAGCCAATGCCTGCTCATAATTTTGAGGGAACCTGATGACTAGAGTGGGTAAGGAAATGTCACTTTGCACCCTGAGCGCAGTGCTGGTATTTGTTACCTGCTTTGGAACAAAGCTTTCCCACCAGTTTACGTAGGTGCAAGATGGTATCCATACTGAGTCTGCACCTCTCAGGGCAGTGTTTACTTAGGTCTAAGAAGCTGAAAGATAAAATATTCAAAGGGTAAATCTAATTTGTGTGAAACAGGACAAAGTGAAACAACTTTTATATTAGAAGTATGTAGCTGCTGAATCTGGTTTCACTGGTCATGTCTTACTGAAGACCCTTTACTGAAGACCCTAAAACAACAACAAACCTTAAGATCAACTAATATTAGAAATCCTTATAGATTAATTGTTTGGAGTTTTCATTGCTAGAAATTAATCATTTCTGTGACTCTAGGTAGAACGTAAAATAATCTAAAAGGTAGATGGGATGGAACATAGAATCAATCCCTGCTGATTATTACAAGATACTTTGTGACCCACTGATACTGTATTCGGAAGAGTATCATTGAGATAAAAGCAATGGCCAGGTTATTGATGACCTTGGCTTGTATAGGTTACAAAGAAGAGGAGAAAAGCCTATTTTTCCTGGCTACAATAATATAGGAGGGCAAGCATCCAAAACAAGAAGAGCTAATTAAGCAAGAAAACAGCACAGCATTGAATATAAATTGACCAGGACTGTATGCAGCCTAGAAATGAATAATAGTCTTGAAAACTGCATCTACTCAAATGTGTGACTTTTTAAATAATGCATGTCTTCATGAATGAATTAACAGATTTTTGAAGAGGAAGAACACTTGATTTTCTTGACGTGTTAAGTCAATGAGTACAGAAAGATGGAGAACTTCACAGACGGCTGTGGGGACGACAGGGTGCAGGGTTTTATTTCTCCCCTGACTACAAAGCAGTTTGGGGTGGAAAGAGACAGATGTGCCTGCACTCTGGGGGAAACTAAGCAGAGTGTTCAAAAGACCAGTCTTGATAGACAGTTGTGAGCTGGGGTGAGATTTGCAGAGGGGGACATAGGTACAACACCGGGCGTCACTATGGCTGGTCTCACCACAACTCCTCTTTAAAGGTTCAGCTACTCTTGAGGCTTGAAAACGAAGTATTTTGCCAAAATACTAATTTATACTTGTGCTATTCATTTGTAGTCTTACTGTCCCAGCACTCTGTAACTAAACAATACCCCTTATAGAGAAATACTTAATGCATTATTTATAGGGAGGAGATCTTTATCACTTTATTTGACATTGCCACTGAGGGATGTAATCACATTGCCTAATATTAGTCATCTAATATTAGTCTCTGATATCAGAAGCTCCTTCAGAAAATGAGTCAGAGCACTTAAATTGGTTCTGATTTGGCCTCTGGAAGGACCTCTGTTGCCACATGGACTGTAGTGAGGTTTAAGACAACTAACCTCCTCACTGGGACACCCAAATGCCAAAGGTTAGGTAAACACGGATTCCTCCTTGAGCTTTCACAGCTTTGATACCATATGGAAAGTTGTGGGTTTTGACACATGCCTGATGATCTCTCATAAGCAGAGGTCAGAAGGTTTAACATAGCCTTGCAAGGCTGCTCTAGAAAATTTACCGAGTCCAAAATCTTTTTGCCTGCCTACTCTTTGGCATGGTAATAATTCCAAAAAAAGTCACCTTGTGGGTAGCACTTGAGCATGTGATTAGAAAAGAAATTTAAGGTCACCAGTTACTGTCACCTCTGATCCCAAGAAGTCACCACTGCCTCTCCTAATTGTCCCATGGTCCATCTTAAACACAAGTCAAACTTTTGGCTCTCATCTGAAAGCCAATTTTAGAAGCTTTTCTATTTTCAGCCTATGTTTATAAGTAATGAACTTACATTCCTTTGTCCTTTTTTATCACTGATTTGTGTTCAATAGTTCCTTCCCTTCCTGCCGTTTATCCCTCTAGTCTACTTATGGATAGTAAAAGTACTCTCTTTTGTTTGCCAAACTGACAAGCTGTTCCATTTCTACTTGTTCTGATACATGCAAACGTAAGCTATGTAAGTTGATTCCTGAGGTAGCCAAACACAGAACAACCTAACTGTGGAAGGTAAGTTGGGAGAGGACACTGTAGGCAGTATTATCAGCTAAGATGCAGCAACATACTAATATGGCTCAGCCAGCCACCTCAGAGATTAGGTAAATTTTACTTGTATTTTCTACACTTGTCCATGGATGCAAGTGCTAGCTGTTGTACCAAGTGATGGAGCAAGGGCAGAACCAAACGGGGTAGTTACATTTGCATAGATTTCAATAAGCCTAAGTCAGTCACGAAGCTGCAACCTCTAAGTTGACGAATTTAAATTGAAGCATCTTAATACGCTGATTTTTATCAAAATTTAAGTGTCAGAGGGGGGTACATTGGTTTAAGTGTATTTTAAGTGCTTTGCATTTGCATATTTTTCATCAAATTACAGATCTCTGAAAGTTTCAATCATTAGACAAGGCAATGCTCAATCCTTGTTATTTACAGAATTTGTTACTGGTACTTTAGTACCTTTGATTTTATTAGTTCTCATAGAGAAAACTTACATCTTCTGGATCTTTTAAAGCAAAGGCACGCAGCAGGCATATTTATTTGAATGCAACCATTGTCTGGTGCTATTCAAGGTACTGTCATTACTTTTTCCATTCCCATTGTACATTCTAATTCAACTTCAGAAAGAATATTTAGTTTAACCTCTGCTTGAAGAAATGGAATGGAGATCACCTTAATATCAAAACAAAGGAGGTCGTATTCAAACAGACTTCAATGGCATCCTCCTGGAAGTTTAAAGTACTCCTCCAGCGGCAGGTGCTGGATAATGAGCGCAGAAACAAAGCACCGCAACTTCTCTAGGGAGCCTGTTAATTTCCTCCTCAGTTAATCTGTTTACCAAACAGAGTAAGTTAATTGCAAACCACTCTAAATCATTACCAAACTGCTGACTTCTGTGAGCAGGTAGTTTTCCCCTCCTACCGTTGCCTTTCCTCTCCTCCACAGATTTCCTGAATCACAGGGATGTGTACCAGAGAGCACGCAGCCGTGCTGGGATCTCGGTGGCGTTTGTTTGATGTGAGTAAGGGCGGGTCTTTTCCACGTTAGATGGACAGCAACCTTTGCTCTAAGTGATAAATAAATAACACAACAGCAGGAGTCACCCTAAGTGGATTTACAGAGGGTTTGAAGGGTGACCAGAGACGAAACCTGGCGCGTTAACTGCCCCCGCCCGCTCCTCTCCTCTCCTCTCCTCTGACGGCCTGTCGCCCTTCACGGACTCACTGAACAGCTGGTGGCGCAGTTCCTCGCAAGGGCCGCCTGGCGCCGCTGGGGGCGGCCGGGCCGAGCGGGCCGCCCGCTACCGAGGCCGGCCCCCGGGGC